TTAACCTAGATAAGCCAAATTAACTCAAAACTTTCCTGAGATGTAAGCTTATTTCCCCTAGTGTACCTGTAGTTCAGTGAAGTCTCTTGGAATTTGTGAACATATTAACGGGACAGAGCACAGCATTTTGAATAAAGGTGGGCCAGTACCCTGAAGAGTGTTGTCAGGGCTGTGTGGGCATGCAGAAGTTACTGATCCATGAGGCTGATGTAAGTGGGCACAGGTTTGAACTGTGCTGGATGTACCCCGTGCTGCAGGTACAGGTGGAGCCAGCTCACCTGTGTGAGGGAGCTTTAGGCAACTCACATTTGGCGCCTGGCAATGGCTCCAGCCCTTGTCTCAGCTTAACTTGAAGTGAAACAGCCTGTTTTCATACACTGTCCTTTTTCATGTCAGTAAAGGTGATGAATAGGGTTTTCTACTTCTGAGGACACCTTGTAAAACCCTAAAGCCTTCAATGCTGGCAAATGTCCCCACAGGTGGGATTTTCATAATGTGGCATGTGCTGATGAGAAGTCTGGCTGAGGTTGCACAGTTCTGGGTTCCCAGCATTGGAAGAGACATAAGATTATCTGTGCTATCATCTCCTTTTACCTTCTCAGATTATCTCCAATAACCCAAATTTTAACCAATAGCCCATGGATTCTGAGCACTTTTCTCAGTGGACTCTATAATGAAGACCTGCATCAGTGCATTGCAGGTGCCTTTGGTACTTCTCTGACCCTACTGGAAACAATTCACCTGATTTAAGGCAGAATTTCCTATATTTTTAAAAAATTTTATTTAAAAGATATTATATACTGGTGAATCAAAGGAATCTTGACCACAATTCTCCTTAGTGTGTGATTCCGGATAGCAAATGGTGTGTTTAAAGAAAATAAAATAGTGGTGTAATTTCTGAGTGCAGGAGGAATAAATAGGTAAAAATCAGTATGAGCCAAGCTGCAGGGTCACATACTTCTTTTCTAACTACTGTGCCATTAGCAAATTACATAGGAAAATTTCTGGTTTTTTGTACTGCCAGGACTAATGAAAACATTAATATGAAGGCCATGGATAATCTCCTGGCAAGTTCCCTCCATGGCAGTAACTACTGCCACACCATGGCTTCTCCCTTTTCAAGCAGCTGCTGCCATATTTTGCTAGGTGGCTTCCTGGTCAGCCCTGCAACTCTGATTTTGCAATGGAGCTCTACTTTCTCTGCTCACCATGACAACTGCTTACCACAATGAGGGCAATAAAGATACTGAAACAAAACAACAGAATAGTGTGATGCAACCAAACATTGCAACATAACTTTTACATTTTTAGTTTCTGATTTTCCTGTCCTAGCTTAAGGCCTCTAAATCAAAATTTTGCATAACCTGCAGATTATAGTGTTCTTGAATATTTCTTCCTCAGTAGAACATTTTTCTGTTCTCAGGTCATGTATTACATATGTTTTATGCAGCTTTAACTTATGGAAATACTTACCTTTAACTTATGTAAATAATTGCTTGCAATTATATTTCTTGATATTTTTTATTCTTGTAGCTTTTAAAGATTTTTACATACAATGATAATGTTTTAATCAAAGTTACCTTGTGCAACAAAGCTTGAAGTAGAAATTACATAAAGTGCTTTAAAACTGTTAAGTTTTTATTTGCCCCAATCAGTTTCAGATGAGAAAGATATATGATGAATACATATGGCAGCCAAACCCAAAAAAATGATGGTTGCTATAAATCACAGTTTTGCCCTAAATATACTTGTGGTTGTCTTGGAGACATAGTATGACTATAGTCTCTTCTCATGTAGAAGCAATGATTTACCAGGTACAGGTAAAACCTGAGACTACTGAATTCTATAATTGCCTTAAAGAAACCTAACAACTATGTTTGCTTGTCATTGGCACTTGTCCTAAAAAAATCAGGGCAAGCATTGCCCTGATTTTTGCAGTTCAAGTCAGTTGGTGTGGAGAATCTGATGACCACACAAGACATGCTTGAAAAGACAACATTTCAGACTAACTGCTGTCAGACACTGTGATAGGTTGCCCAGCTAGCTGGAGTTTATCTTCAAGTTTTGCCTCATCTGAAAGGAATCTGTGTCACAAAGCAATCTCCAGGATTGCTTTGTGACACAAGTTCTCTCTTGATCCAAACAAAGAAGCTTATGCAGCCACACGCTTCAAGGAGATTATATATGTGAAGAGGGAAAGTTGTTAATACTGTAAATTGAGAAAGACAAGTGATCTTGAAAGCTGGAACAAAACTACTGGATGACATCTCAGGCAACTTTCATCCATCCTTCCCTAAGAGAATGCTCTCATTCTGAGTTTCTTCTAAGTGTAACTCAAAAGCATTGAATTATTTATCACAGGCATTGCACTCCCTTCATTGTAATATAATGTTTATCAAATAAAGAAAGCAGATGCCACCACCTGATGGAAAAAGGACTTCTTAGTGATACCTTATTTAGCATACACACTTTGGAGAAATGCTATACACCAAACACTCTGCTCAAGTCCAGTCTCTTAATTTGCAAAGTAGCCTTATCTGAACTTATCTTCAGCTGCAGAAAGGTTTACCATGATCATCACTCTGCTGCAGTTCATTTTCAAAGATGGCACTGGTGAATGGATAGACCCCTCCTTGTGCGAATTATGACTCTTTATTCTATCTTAGAGCTTTATGAGATAAAATACATCTGAATGTTTGCATAGACTAAAAAAAAGGAAAAGGTAATGTAAATTCCTTTGCATAGATCTGGTCTGGAGGATGTTTGGGTAACAGTTTGCTTAGCATTACCTTCATTGGTGGATCTGCTGATTCTTGTTCTACTTTGAAGTGTCTCTAGTGACCATACCAAATGTGCATTGCAGACTAATGTCAATGTCTGCCTTCCTCAGACAACCCACACCTCTGCTTTTCCCTGAAATTTTTTTCTTATGCTGCCATGGTCTGTGTATTTTTTTGCTACTTCCAGAAATCCAGCCATTTCAGCTTTACTACACTTCCTTTTTTTTTTTCTGAATTCTGGTTCACATTCAATTAATAGTTAAATGACTTAATAGTTCTGATTGTACCTGTTTATTTTGGTAATATTTTAACAAAATGTTTTACACCAGAAACCTTTTTACTGGAAACATTTTTTCACCATTAGTAGTATTACAATGAATACAGGAGAAAAAACCCCATTACAAAAAGCCCCATCACAACCTCTAGCACATGTACCTCAAAAAGAATTCTTACAAAGTTACTTTTTTTTTTTTTTTTTTAAATCAGTGCATCTAGAGAAATATAGTAGAGACCTCACTTAATCACATTCCAGTCACAGATGTTTTTCAGTCATGCAAAATAATACAGAAGCTAAAAATCTTGCCTAATGCACTGTTTGAGAGTTAATGAGAAACATTTCCAAAATTAAATATGGACTGCAGTGGTGACCAAGTGAGACAAGCTGACTGTATAAATCCTGCTGTGTTTGCCAAGTCAGGAATGAATTAATTTTCTGTGTACTTCCCAACAGCTTTGGGTCTGGAAGTGTTGCAATGTGCCTCCAGCTAGCACTGCATACCTTGGATTGATGGAAGACAGTTCATGCAGGCACAGCAGGACATAATCTTTCATCTTCACTTATCTGCAGCTAGTGGGCAGAATGTTTGAACATGTTTCCATTTGGTAAATAAAATTGTGCCAGAACATGAAATGAAAGAAGTATCAGAAGCAGGATGCAAATGGGTGGAAGGGACAGGACATGTCTGGATTATTCTCCACAGATTCTGCAAAACACTTGTAATTTGCTTAGCGAATGTTATTATGTATTTTTAACAATAATGAGAACATCTACCTTGGCAATTCTATAGTCCATGTTTACTGCCTGCTTTGTGAAGAACATAAAAAAAGAGCCTTCCTCTACCTTAATATCTAGTTTAGTAGTTAGTCAATGAGTAAGTGGCAGTGCAGTGTTAAAATAATCCACATTTGACTCCATGTTTAACAAAATAGTTTGAGGGACTTCTGCTTTGAAAAACGCTAGCTCTAGCTGTGGTGTGAAACAGAGAACTAAGAATCACCAGAACCTAGAGAACGTACTGTTCCCAGAACAGCCACAAGTTAAGTAATCTAAAATACTTAGTAGCTGTTAAGTTTGTAGATAAGAACTTAGGGACTATATGAGACGATGAGTCCCCAAGATGCTCCTGCCAACAGCCTCCACGGAGTCTTGAAGGGCTCTTCCTCTTCAGTGACACGGTCTCTTCAACGAGGGAGGTTTGCAGCCGTTCGTCTTTTGAAAACAAGCAAACAACCAAACAAACAAACAAACAAACGTCACCTCACATCTCGCAATCTTTACTTGGAGGATTTCCTGCGGCGGAGGCTGAGCCCAGCCGCAGCAGTGAGAGGCTGGGGCGGCCGCTCAAACGCTTTGTTTCTGGGAGCTTGCGTTCAACCAGCACCGCTTACCTGCGCCGGGGCAGGGAGGGGACGGAGGGTGGCCCTGCCCTGCCCTGCCCTGCCCCGGGGCCACCCCGCGGTCCTGGGGACAGGCAGGTTTGCAGGCGGGGAAGGTGAGGCTCGCTGGGAGGAGCCGCCCGTGCGGGGGAAGCGGTGCCTCGGTCCCTCCGCTGCCGGGGCTCTCTGGGAGGCGGCAGCGGGGCTGCCCCGCTCCCGAGGAGCAGGTAGGGGACTGCCCGGGCCCTGGCCCGGCCCCAGCGAGCCCTCGGTGTAACGGGGGCTCGGCCGGCCCCGAAAGCCGGGAGCGGCCGGGGCGGCAGCGGGTGCGGGCAGTGAGTACGGGCAGTGAGTGCGGGCAGTGGGTTCAAGCAGTGAGTACGGGCAGTGGGTGTGGGCAGTGGGTGCGGGTAGTGGGTGCGGATAGTGGGTACGGGCAGTGGGTGCGGGCAGTGAGTACGGGCAGCGGGTGCACGCAGTGGGTGCGGGCAGTGGATGCGGACAGTGGGTTCAAGCAGTGAGTACGGGCAGTGGGTATGGGCAGTGGGTGCGGGCAGTGGGTGCGGGCAGCGGGTGCGGGCAGTGGGTTCAGGCAGCGGGTACGGGCAGGTGCGGCCGGGAGCGCTGCTCGCCGTGGCTCTGTAACAGGGTGATCCCAGCAGCACGGCCGTAGAGCTGCTGTCCCGTGGTCGCACTTTGCTCCGACGCCTCGCTTTTCGGGCTGGGAGGTGGCTCGGAGCGAGGTACTGTCTGTTGGGGAAACTGGGGGCTGGGGACACTTTAGGAGTAGGGGTGAGACCCCTTGTAAAGGATCAGCCCTGACCGTGGCTCGGTTCCTGACCGAAAGCCAGCGAGCGCCTGTTCTCCGCTGCTCCCCTGGGCGCTGGGCCTGGCTGGTCACCCTGCCCGGGCCAGGCATCGCCCAGCAGCCACAGGGAATGCTTCCAGAAATACGTCCCAATTTAAATGAAGAGTATCGGAAAATGGTTTTCTGCCGTACCCGCTGAGGGATCCTCACGTTTCACAGAAACACGGCTATCGCCATAGTCGCAGTGCCCTTGCTACATCCTGACGGGGCTAACGCAACTCTTCTGCGCTGACTAGGTATGTCTAGTGAAGAAATTTATGTATTTACTGTCACCTTTTATTTTCGTGATCAAAAGTGAGACACTTGATTAATCTCCCTAGAAGAGGCATGGTGTACCTTGCAGTTAATAGGAGCATTTAAGGCAATATGAAAAAAATACATATATATATACGCATACGCATTATTTTTTTTTATTATTTAAAATGTTCCTAGGCTTATATACCAGAAATAGTGTGATACTCTGACTTTCTGTTGGTTCTCTCAGTTCTGAGGACTTGCAGGCTTGAATCAATTTGTGCATTTGAATGAGATTCAAATTAAGCTGCCACAAGTTTGCCAAAATCAGTAAAACCTGTGATCCTTTGAAGTTTTGAGGAGACTTCTTTTTTTAATTGAGTAGGTCAACTTTGAAAGGACTAAAAATCAGATGAAAAGGTGGTTAAGCCAATTTAATGAAAAATTTTATTGAAAATTATGCCTATATGCCATCATCGATGCTGTGATTGTAATTCAGGTGCGTGTATCGTTGAAGACCTCTTTTAGACAACTGATGGGTTTTTTTTTTAGGGGGTTTTTGGTTGTACTAATTTTTTTTAAACTGCAATTGATAAAAATATTTCATTTCAGGGTGAAACTTCATGGATGTGGCTTCACATACCTGAAATTTTTTTTCCTCTTTGGAAAATCTGGGCAAAGATAATTAGAGCTGAAGTCTGTTGTGAATAATAAAGCTCCACAGGTCGATGGAGTGCTCAAGATGTGGACAGAATGGCTGGGGAAAGGGAGAAATTTAGCTGTTTATCATGGCAGAATGTGGTAGGAAAAACATTTGCAATTGGTTCTGCAGTTGTGTGTATGTTATTTTCATTTTTATTTATGTGAATACATGCACAGAGAAGAGCATGATTTTACTACTGTGTCTACCTTCCATAGAAATGGAAATTTTCCATTGTGAAAAGTGAGAGATGAGGGAGTGTCCTCAAAGGCGTGTGTATGGTTTTACACAAGGCTGTATATATGTTTGCAAGTCTTCTGTTGACAAAAGGGCAAATTATAAATTTAAATAGATAGAAAGAACACTAAAATTATAGAAAAGCAGCATCCTGGAAGACTTTCTCTCAGGATGTGGTAAAATACTACTTCTGTATCTGCTAAATCTACTGGGGGGGAAGAAACTTTTTGAGAGAGCTCTTGTGAGACAGGCCACTAGAGCAAATGGTGTAAGAGAACAGAGTTCATGAAAAAGCAGTGATTTAGAGAAGTCATTAAGAAAATACCTGCTCATAAGTGGAGTGTATTCAATCCTGTTTTATCTTTAAATTGTATCTGTTACCATATTTTCCTCTTATTTAAAATTAAAAATTATGAATTTTTAAGAGTGAATAATGGAAAAAGTTGTGGGTTTTGTACAAACACATATAACCTACCTCCTGAGATTTTAATGTTTTGTGTATTTCTGTGGTCAGGATTCTTTCAAGGACTCATCCCATCTTAGAGCTAGGCAAGACAAGACCTGCCTGGTAATTTGAGTGGAGATTTGCAAGGAGGGAGGAGGAAAGAGAAAGGGAAGAAGGGAAGCAAGCACTGCAAGAAGCAGTGTGGATGACTCAATACATGGCACACTTCTGAGTCAGTCTGGTAAAGTAAGACACAGCAGGCGGAAGTGTCATCTTTGACTCTTGTAGAAAATCCTGATCAGCTAAATATTTGTCAGTAGTACTCAGCAGTGCTCAAAGAGCAAAGATGTGGTTAGAAATCATTTGGGAAAAAATCCAGAAAAACCCAGTAATTGTTTATAAATCCATAGTGCACTTAATGTTTTGAAGACAATATGCAAGTTCTGTCCTGTCCTCCCCATCTCAGACAAGTTGTAGCAAATCTGGATGCAGTGCAGAAGTGGGTGGCAAAAAAAGTCAGAATTACAAAATCAGATTCCATCTAAGGGAGAGTTACAGAATCTACTACTGTAGCTTAGGAAAGCAAGAAGTGGGAAGGTGTGTGCTAGAGATGTAAAAAACCCCAACTGCTTGGCAATCTGAAATAGGAGATGTTCACTATTTTTTTTTTTTTCTGGTGTAATAATTAGGAGCTGCCAGGTAAAACAAACAGGTAACAGGCTCAAAACAAGTCAAAGACCATTCCTGTATTTCATGTGTCCTCTTTAAACTGTGTAATTCCTATATTAATTGTCTAATGCAAAAGTTTACTTTAAATTATGGGAATTCATATTGGAAACCACTAATTGAACATTTTTTTTCCATTTTGGCAGGGGAACATGACATCAAAAACACTGTTTTCATGTAACATTGCAACAGCATTTCTGTCTTTAATTGTTGCAAGTAAGTCTGTTCATGGCTATGGAAAGTCTTGGTCTGAACTTTTTATGGAACTTTTTTTTTTTTCCACACAAGTAATACTAACTTTCTGTGGAAATGGCTGTAATTGTGAAATTTACATGCATGCCAATGCATTCTTTTAAACGGTTCCAAGAGCAGGAACCTATAAAACATAATATGTGGTATTTCATGTTCTAACTTATAACAGAATCATTTAGATTAGAAAGGAGCTCTTGACATCTAACCTTACAGGGTCAAGATTTTGAAAACCTCTGCAAGTGGAAACTCCACAACTTCTTCTCATGGTATTTCATGCAGAACATAAGAGGAAAGAAAGGGATTGAAATCAGAACAGTATTGTACTTGTTGTGTTCTCCTCTGTTCTGCACATTTGCCACTGACAGTTATCAGAGACATTCTACTGAGTGTAAAGATTGCATTCAAAAAACAGCATTTCATTTTAGTGGCATAACTATATTTGTAAACTACTGAGTAGTACTCTCAGCTGTAATGATAAGGGATTAAAACTGTATTTTCAGATCTGACTTGAGAATGGAGGTGAAATCTCCAATGAACTTTATAATTAGAAAATTAGTTCAGTATATTTTTGTAGCATGTTTGAGTTTTTCTTTAATGTTTATCTCTTTCCTTTAGAAAAATGTGAAGCCTATGATGTGATGTCGAAGCAAATTCTTGTGCCTGATGGGCAGCCTCTTGCTATTAAATGTTCACTGGAAAAGAGCTTGAAAAGTGGAGACTACAACTTAACATGGTATAAAGTTGGTAACCAAAGAGCTGTGCCTAGAGACAAACTGTCTAGAGTTCATCAGCAGAAGAATCTAATTTGGTTTCTTCCTGCAATGTTAGAAGATTCTGGAGATTATGAATGTGTCATAAGGTGAAAGTTAAAAAAAATCATATTTTTACAGAAATGAGATGCAAAGCGAGTAACTTTTAAAAAGCCAGTAAAAGTTTGAGGGTAAGAGAAATACTAATGAAGAGAGAATGCATCTACAAAAACTAGCTTTAGTTTGGGGAAATTAAGTCTAGTTTTGGGATTTTTTTCCTTGTAGGTAAAGGTAAATTTATTAAAGATACTGTAAACATTTTTTTCTTCTCTTTCTTCTTCAAAAAGAATGCCATATATTTTTTGACCTGCAAAATATGTTAAATACGTTAATTTAATTGTGTTCTATTAATTGCAGGAATTTGACAAGCTGCAAGAAAATGTGTACAAAAGTAACAGTTTTTGAGAGGATTGATGGTTTGTGCTTAAATGAAAAATTTGCTGTGGAGGAGGTGATATTCACATCATCTTCTGCAAAGGTCGTGTGTCCCCACTTGGATTATTTCAGGAAAGAGAAGACTATTCAGCCTGTTCGTTGGTATAAGGTGAGAATATAGTGTTTTGTTCTGTCTTATAACTGTCCATTATTTATAATAAAAATCGGTGACCTTTGATAATTAGAGCAGAAGAACTAAGGATTTACTGTAAATTGGAGAAAAATGCTTTTAAAACAAATTGGAAGAGGATTAAGACTTTCTGTTTTTTAAAGGTGTTCTTGGTTATCAGGGCAGAATTTCAGCTGAGGTGTAGGAGTGATGCTGACCCACGTACCCACCAGGTGGCATCTGTTCACCTGCCAGGGAAACACGGCCTTGTGTGGAAACAGATTTACTGTGGCATATCCATTAAGTGCTCAATACTCTTCCATTCAATTATTCTGCTTCTTGTTGTTCATGCTCTCTTAAAGGCTCTTTCTATTACAAGAATGTAATCTGCCCTCTGCCTCAGGCTCATGAGTCCATATGGTACCAGTAGCATTGAGGCTCCTTAAAAAATAAAATCTAATTATTGGGTGGTGCTTCATTGATTAATACTTTTGCAAATACTGACAACACACATTTTAATTTCTTATTTCTCTAATATCTAAGTTGTTTTCCAAAGGAAATGAACTTTAAATTAAAATCTCAGCTGAAGTGAAGCCTGCATTTCTTTATATTCTGCTGTCCTAACTCTTCCTCAGCCTCTGCAGGGTGTCCATCCTTGTGCTGTGGTCCATTGAAACTTCAGATTGTATCAAAGAGAGACAAACCATGGAAATATACAGAGATGTGAATTAACAGAATTTTCTACACAATTTTAGGACTGCCAGCTGCTGAAAGGAAAAAGGTTTGCCATTTCAAACAGTGACCTTATAATTTTCAATGTGACTGTACATGATGGAGGAAACTATACGTGTGAAACAACATATACCTACAATGGGAAACAATATAACATTTCACGAGACATCAGTCTGGTTGTAGAAGGTAAGTAAATAATTTCACTGTGTTTGTGTTCATAACTGAAGTGGAAAGACCTAATTTGTGGATGGACATGCTTAGGACTACTGTTTTTCACCTAAATGTGCAGTAATGACTACCTGAGATATGGTACTTTTTGAGTGATATTTTGTTATAAAATGGCTGACAACTTTGTCTTTAGTACAAGGGGTGTTTTTAGGTTGTACTTGCATTATAGAGCATAAAACAGACTGCAGCTGCCCCTGGTTTTCTGAAAAGCACTTTCTTTTGCTTAGTGACTCCACCAAAAAAACCTCCAGAAATAACCTACCCAAGAAACAACTCCATTGAAGTGGAACTTGGTAAGTAGTTTTCTCTAGAGAAAATATGAATTTGTATCCTAGTTAAAATGTATTCTCAAGGAGTATCCTATACTGTGCTGTCTTGTTTTTATTTTATGAAAAAGCTACTTCAGTGGTCATTTTCTCTCTGTTGATTTCCCAAAAGAAGAATGAGGGATGAGAGGGAAAGGAATGAGGCACATTGCTTGCAAAGTCCTAAAGAAATTTCTCAGATGCAAGGAAAATTGTAGGAACCCAAGTGATTATCTGTCACATCTGTTGCTTTCCATCACTCTGGAAGTGATTCTAAGAGTAGGTCTATCTCGAATCTGCAGGCAAAGTGATGCCCCAAGGGGAGCATCTTCTTCCTGGATTCAGCTTCTTCCATCCTACCATTCTCTTTCTGGACCTGCACATCAATGAGAATATAGACCCTCTGTTAGAGTAACTTTTTAAAAAGGATTTAGTATCATCCTTAGCTGGTGTGCGAGTGTGAATTTGTGAACAGGATTGTATAGACTTTAATTAGGTTATGGAGATTAATTCTTTACTTTGTAACACAATTTTATAGGCTCACAGGTTACTGTGGATTGCAACACCACAGGTGCTGATGGGTATGAGGTGTACTGGACAGGCAACGGTATTGATGTATTTTATATGAGCAGAATTTTTGCAAGTTCCTATGAGTAAGTATATTTTCAGATTAGAAAATACTGTATTGGCAACCAAAGTGGAACCTTCTCCCTTTGATATTAAAATATTTAGCAACATTTTTCTCTTGCTTTAAATAGCATTCTTCTTAAAAACTCTAATACTTACCTTCTCAACTGACTTTCTGCTTTGAAATAGAAACTTTAAACATAGTAGGAACATGAGCTTCACATGTGATTGTGCGTTTCTTGCTCATTGTGAAAAATCATTCTCAATTTCCAATGTTGGGAAAAAGTGTTTTGTTACAGTCCCATAATTGTAATACAGTTTCTTTTGAGCAAGCTCTTGCCTGGCAGAGACCTCTTTTGGTTGAATCAGGCATATTCAGGTGCCTGATTCATGATTTTCAGACTTCATCTTTCTTCTGTGTTCCACATCTGCCTCCCTGAAAGATTGCAAGAGGACAAATCTGTGCTATACAGGAAAATTTGAGATTTCTAGATTTAAGGGCATTAAGTTAGACAAATTTAACTGAGATCAGCTGAAGAGCTATTGGAAGACTTTTTTGAGGGCATTTGTACTGAAGCTTAGGGGTTAGAGGAGAAAAGGGAGACAGATTTCCAGTGATGAGCTGGGTCTTGGGAGGACTTGGACGGAGTAAAGCATGTGAAGGGCAAGTGGGAGATAAGGTGATGGTGAAAAGCAGGTCAAATGGAATTAGAGGAAAAGAAATTATACCTGACTGGAAAAAATAACTCAAATTGGATCAAGAAGCAATCTGAAATTGTCTTAGACATTACAGGTTTTGAACTAAAAATTTCAGGTTTTTTTGTCAGCCCTTATGGTGCACTGTAAATAAAAAAAACATGATAATTTTTGTAAATTCTGGTATACTATCTAGGACCAAAAAAACAGTAAAGAAAAGATAATGATGTCTGCAAAGTAACAATATAGTTGCAAGAAATAAGTTTTCATCATAAAACAAAGGGAGAAATAAAATTCTGACTTATTTGGGTGCTCAACAAGAGAAAACACTATGCAAAAAAAACATATTAGACTGTCATACAGAATTGTAGTGCCATAAACAGTTGGGCCATAATGCAGAGGTACACGGTCACTGAATTGATATTGCAAAAGCAATGTTATTTTTTGTACTTCATAGCACCTACATGGTCACCTTTGGTCACTTGCATTAGTGATGTTGGTTCATTCATCCCCTGAATGTCATATCCTATTGTGAAATATCTATCTACTCTCACAGGGATTGGGAAGCCCATGACAAGAGTTTATTTGGGTTCATAAAGCATATTTTTGAACTTCCAACTACAGAAAACTTATGTTCCTTTGGGGAGACATAGCTGCAGATAAGATAAAGTCTTGATGTCTTGATGCTTTCCGATGTATATGCTAAATGTCAGCACGAGGAGAGGTCTGGCTGTTTGGGCTTCTTTCATATTATGTAGTTGTTCATCTGTTGTGAAGTGTGGTTGACATTTGCAGAAGGAAATAACCACTGTTGTGGTGCAGATGTTAGAGATGAAGCCATTCCTGAATGGGCTGTGGTTTTATGGTTCTATTTGTCATCTTTTGGACAGGGAAGAAACTTCTCATGACGGGCGCCCTATGCATTCTGTGAAGCTAATAATTTCAGAAGTAAGCAGTGAAGATTATGAACAGCCTTTTGTCTGTCAAGCTTCAAATGCCTTTGGGCAAGTTGCATCCTATATTATATTAAAACACAGAGGTAAAAAATACTATTATTTTGAGACTGACCTGTGATTATCTATACTTCCCCAAAGGTGTTTTGATACCAAATTCTTGTGTATCATGTTGAAAGAAAACAGATGTATTACAGTTTGCAGTATTCATGTGCCTGTGCATAGTGAAGAAATCACTATAGCATTGCAGTGATCATTATTTAAAAAACAAGGTAAATAGAAATGAAACATGTAATATTCAAACTTATATTGAATTTATGTAAAAGATCAGATTTGGACAAATTCAACATTCAAAACTAATTTCTTATATTTTTGTGCAGTCCCTGACATACGAAGATGGCTGACTGGAGGGCTTGTCTCTTTGTTAATTTTAACATTTATTACTTTAATAATTTACAAGATTTTCAAGATTGATTTGGTGCTTTGGTGCCGTAATTCTGTCTGTGCCCTTACAAGTGAGGAAGGTATGTGAGTGTGACCAGGTATGTAAGTGCAATTATCCTATTGATTTTTTTCTCTTGCCTTTACTTCTGAGAGACAATGGGATTATTTAGTACAATGTATGTAGAACTTCCATAAGGAATTTTCAGATAAGCACAAAGACATTTTATGCAGGATTTTTTTCAGTCATATGGGTAAAATATATGCTTGAAATAATAAAAATTGTGTAATATTGAAGGCAGCCAGTGAGATAGGTCAAAAGAACAATAGGTTATTCCAAAATGAGCATGTTCCAAAATGAGCATGTTTATTGCTTTTCTGTAGTTTCTTTATGTATGGATTTAGGGTCACCCTGATGATGAACAATAGGTGTCAGCAGAGCTACATCCTGTGAATTGGATGTTTTAAAAACGTGCTTTAAATATTTATTTTGAAAATCAGACTAATTTGTCAGAAATTAATTTGGTTGGAATTTTTTTTTTTTAATTTTTCAATTTCTCTCTGTTACGCTTGCTTTCCTTCTAAATCCTGTCAGTTATGATGTTGACATATCAAAGAGAAAATTTTCTGCTAGTTCTGTGTTCTGGGATACTTCTTATGTGTTTTAGTTTAATGCATTGTAGGCAAATATATTGGATAGGTATGAAAAATTTGAAATAAGCACATCATAGATATATTTAATGTCAGTTCTCAGACTGTCTGAAGTTCCCCGTGACTTGAAAGTGAATGGATTACATACATTAAGATAGTTAATATTTACTTATGGCTGTGCTAAATGTTTTCACGGGAAGATAATTTCAACTCCTGGTCAAAAATTCAGATTTACTATAATACTGTAGTAGAATTCTAATTAAAAGAAAATAAATCAAATTTTTTAGCTTGAGTTTGATCTGATTTTGGCTTGGTTCTTTCAGTCCAGCTTGCTACACAGCCTTACGTCTCAAAACCTCAGAAGCCTTCTGGCCTTCTACCTGAGAAAAGCCCTCCCAGGACTGTTACAAGAAAGAATTGCCATTTTTCCACCTTCTCTTGTGGTTAGTTAGAAGTGGAGATAACTGCTATTAGGTTTCTTTCAGGAGAGGTGGTGAAGAAAGTCCTGTGAGAGGGCATTCCTCAATGTCCTGGCACCTCTATGATTGGGAGCTCCTTCCCGCAGGTCCCAGGTCCTGCATCCAGCTCATTTGGTGACTCCTTCATCCCCAGGATGGGAAACGAAGTCAGATTCTGTGGCTGGTCATCTTTATTTTGATCCATAGAGCATTTTGTTTCTGTGAGGCGATTCTGTAAGATGGGTGAAATCAGCCCCACATTACTACTTCTAAACAGTCCAAAAATGAAATGCAATAAAGGCATTTTCCTAAGTTTTAGGTTTTTAATAGAAATGTTTGTGTTTGTTTTAGATGGGAAAGTCTATGATGCATATGTCCTGTACACAAAAAGCAATGAAGGCAGAAGTATATGTTGTCTGGAAACCTTTGTTCGTAGGACACTCCCAGATGTTTTAGAAAAACAATGTGGATATAACCTTTTCATATTAGGAAGGGATGATTTACCAGGGGAAGGTATGCTTTAATTAACAAAGGTAACAGGTTGCCATTTTAAACATTGTTTTCAGGTTATAAGTTATCTATGTAATTAAAACTCACATTTTTAGAAATTTATTTAGTTTTAATGAACAATGTGTCCAATGAAAATATTTCCTTTTTTTTTTTTTTCTTCTTACTGAAAATTCTCTTCTGATGTTATGAGGGTCTACGCTTTCTTAGTGATGAACAAATGAAAAAAATGAGGACTTAATAATTAATATTAACAGCATTAATAATACTGTTGAGTTTTTTTGAATGATAAATTCTTCTGAGGGCTGAAGAAAACAAATTTTTTAGAAGTTATGTCATGCAATGGATCATGAATCATGATTGGCAGTGTGAGTATCTTAAAGCAACCACTGCTCTGAGCTAGCCACAACTTCACATGTTTGCAATTTTAAAATAAAGAACTATTTTACACCAGTTGTAAAGATTCTATGCAGACTTTGATTGTTCCTTCATCACTTACAGCTGTGGTCAGTGTTGCTGATGAAACCCTTAAGCAAAGCAGAAGACTGATGATTATTTTGGGATCAGAAACACCTAGCTGCTGCCTGTTGGAAGACACCTCTGAGCAACAACTAGCTATGTATAATGCTCTCATCCGTGATGGGATTCAAGTGATTCTTATAGAAATAGGTGAAATACGGGACTACACAAGCATGCCAGAATCAATCAGATACATTAGGCAAAAACATGGAGCTATTCGATGGAAAGGGGACTTCTCAGAGAAATCTTGTTCAGCAAACTCAAGATTCTGGAAGAATGTGCGCTACCAAATGCCATCCAGGAAAAAGGGATCTTATTCTGAAATGCATTTGTTGCCCCTAACGTCGAACAGTTCTGCAGCAAAGGAAAGTTAAGAAGCACTTATTTAAGTGATACTAAGAAGGTAATTCTAAGTTGGGATGTTTCTTGCATATTCTTTTTACTACAAAGTAGATGCTTTGTTTGAGGAGTAGAAACTGCTCATCCCTTCAATAAACTGCACCCTAAAAGAAAAAACTCTGTGCAACTTTATTTCTGTACAGGTTTTGGATAGTGACACAATTTGTTGTGTTAGTCTCCATCAAATATTATAAGTAAACATGGTGATGATGATACACTATTAAGTAGCCGTGGTCCACATAAATGTTGTGTGAAGAAACAGCTGTGAATTCCATTTTTTAAAAATCAAAACTGCAGTTGATAAATTAAAAGTCTGTTTCTATCATCAGCATTTTCCTAGTCATTCTGTTCCAATTCTTGCTGTCTCTCCATGATTGTCTGATTTCCTTATTGCTGCAAGAATCTGCTCTGTGCAAGCTTTGTCTGCTGAGCAACAGACCTTACTTACCCTTGCTTCTTGAAAGGATTGGGAAAATACATGACATAGCAGGTATATTGAAAACTCATCACAACATTAAATGTGTTTCTGCTGAACAGTTGGTGCTAAACGTGTTCAGCAAATGGAAGGGAATGAAATCTGTGGATTTTTAGAGTGTTGAACAATTCTGTGATATCTGGTGTATGTTTACTTTTTAAACATAGTCTCTAATGCTTAGGAAACTGAAAATAGTTTGTATTTCTTGAGAACAGGAAGCTTTTTCGACTGTGCTGCTACTCTGGAAACCAGATGTTCTCGTGCTGTGTCTCAGCTGTGCTAACTACATGCACAGAAATGCACTGAGAATCTATCAAAGAACTGTGCTTGGGCTGGGTACCCTGCAGAGTGGAAAGTGGCCAGTTCTGAAACATGACCAAATTCCAATGGCAAGAAATGGTATCTCATCTACTTGTGAAAGAAAAAGTTAGAGGCATGTGGCTATATCAAGCTGCTTGAGAGTAGCTTGGTATTTCTGGATCCCAATCCACTTTTGGTGACTCCTTCATCCCCAGGAGTGAGAAAATGGCATGCTGCTTCCTTTTCAAGGTGGTCTGAAGCAGTAGGGTTTTCAGGCTCCAGGCTTGAAGAACATAATCTAAATGCAAATATGAATTTTGTTTGCTTTTAAAAAATTATTTTCTGAAGTTATGTAGGTTCTAACATCATGTTTATTGCCAGGATAGCATCTGTTGATGAATTTCTTTCAGTTGATTCACAGAGGTATGTCTGTCTAGATTCTATTCTTTATGGGCTGTATTGATGGGAGAGAAAGCAAAATCTAGGAGTGGAAATATATAATCAAAAGGAAAGATTTCAAATAGCATTTCATGGTACTTTTTTTTCCTTGTAAAGGTGTAGTAAATACTCCTTAGAAGCAATGTCTCATTCTCCTGGCTGTGGGGCTCACAACTGTGTAATTTTCCACAGCCTTCACTGACTACGGACTTCTTCTGAGGTGTCACCAGGAAAACTGGGAACAGGGTAGATCCATCAGATAAGGCACTATTCTCCTACTAGATGTTGAATCCATGTTCTTTAGAAAGGCATAATATTTAGGCTGGAACCTTTAAAAAATAAATTTAAGGACTTGGAGAATTCAGGTAATCATAACTGTCAATTTTTTACATTGTGTTTAGATGTAGCTTGCTCAAAAAAGTATTCAAAATAAGTTTCTTTCCTTCCTTTTTAAAATTTATGCTTAAAAACAGAATTTTCTTATTTTCCATGCAGAAGGAGAAAAATAATATGGGAAAGATGTTGAAACTGTGGTCGATTTTTTCAGCTTCCTTATTTCATATGCTTTGAAATTAAAAAAACCAAACAAACTAATGACTAGGAATTGCAGTACTACATAACAATAAATTGATTTGCAATTTGTGCTGGTATTTTTTTTTCTTCTGTGAATGTGCTGTTATGATTTCTTTTTGCTCTTTTTCATAGTTATTTTCGGAGGTTTGTGACATTACTCAAGATAATAATTTTCCCATTTTTCTGCTAAGTGAGACTCCTAATGACTCTTAAGTGAAGACAGATTATTGTGAGTCAGCACTGATTTACCAGATACTTTCATTCAAACAACCACATTTAGTATGATTATTTTTGTCCTATAAAAATGAGTGTGGAAAATGAGTTTTGGTTATCATGATTGATTGTTAGCTAGCTACTTCAATGTACCATGACATGAGATGGCTTATTCTTAAGGGGGCTGAATTTTGAAGCTGAATTTTGTCTCTGTTTTCTCTCCTTGGAAACTGTTTTTTGCAAGTCGTTTCGGAAAACACAGTATTTTTTTTTTTTTGTACAATAAAAGAAGTCCCATAGACACAGATGCGCTGGTTGCTCTCTATTAAAAAAAATCAAATCCCAACAACTCCACAAATGATTAGCTGGCATGAGGTTTGCCCCTGAAAACTTGGCAGATTCAGAAGGAAAAGGCAAATGCAGTGTAAGCAATGGAAGAGTATTTGGTTTTCACTTAGTAGTAGATATATTTATTGTTGACAGAGAGCAAAGTCTAAATGGTATGTGGTGTAAGATACATTGAAAGCATTCTCTGCACCATTTTTTGCTTTTCAACCAAAACTACATACTTATTCTGTTGGCTTGCTCCTGTCTATTTGTTTGGTACTCCAGATTGCACTGTCCTTTCCTTGCCTTGTGATTAACTTGTCTGAATTTGCTAAGTCCATTACATCTTTCAATCCATACTGTGATGCTGGTCTTTCTGTGAGACTTCTTTCTTGTTTTTTCATGATCATATCCTACTTTCTTACATCTATGGTAAATAGCACTGAGATGTGGCCTGTTTCATGTTCTAATGTACACAGTTGTCATGGTTTAACCCCAGCCAGCAGCCAAGCCCCACACAGCCACTCACTTCCCCACCAGTGGGATCAGGAAGAGATTCAGAAGGGCAAAAGCCAGAAAACCTGTGGGTTAAAATCAGGACTGTTTATTAGGTAAAGCAAAATCCACACACATGAGCAAAGAAAAACAAGGAATTAATTAATTGCTTCCCACAGGCAGGCAGGTGTTCAACCATTTCCAGGACAGCAGGACCCCATCATGTGCAATGGTTACTTGGGAAGACAAACAGCATCACTCCAAACATCCCCTTATTCTTCCTTCTTCCCCCCACTTTATATACTGAGCACAATGTCAGCTGATCTGGAATATCCCTTTGGTTGGTTTAGGTCCCCTCTCCCAGCTGTGTCTCTTCCCAGTCTCCCATGGAAAACCAGCACAGCATCTATGACTGTATGAATTCATTGATAGAGGTTTATGTGATTGAGAGGAATGTGCTCTGAGATCAGAATGAGTTTTTAGGACCTGGTAGAGTTAATGCAGTAGCCCCAGATAGGACAGCCCTGACTTTGGTATGGTTTTTTTTTGTTTGTTTGTTTTTTTTTTTGGTGTGGGCTTTTTTTTTTGTTGTTTTTTTTTTTCTTTTTTTTTTTTTTTAATTTACCTCTGCATTGCATCCTAGAAGGTAGAACAGTGCAAGAGCAATTTTACATTTTCCCTTTATCTTGGTAACTTGAGCTTCTGCTTGAGAGGTAAGGTAATCCTGCCTTTTGTTCAGACACTATGGTAGCTCAGTGACTCTGCTTCCCTCCATAGCTGCAGTTAGCTTGAAGATGAAGCAGGCAGGATACAGTTAATATTTATGACATCTGTGCTAAGGAGAGACCTTTTCCCTAAAAGTACCAAGGAAGTAATATATTGTAGAGCTTTGGAATACATGTAAGTAAAATCAGTGGCTAGCAGCTTTCCTTCAGGGTATTTCCAGGTCTCAGGTTTAGTCATAGATGCTGCAACTCATGAACACAGGAGCAATAGCATTTCTGCCTCTCATCTTTACACTCATTATTCTCAAGAGTAAAGGCAAAGCACACCACTTGATGTGCATGTTTATTCTCTTTTAATTTAGAATAGTATTAACCAGTACTCAATGTGTTTGTTGAGACAGACTGAACATTAGTCACTAAAAGGGAGTTAGAAAACAGTAGCAGTAGAAACATCTTCTTCCTCAGCCCACTCTAAGATTGCTTCCCATTTTAAAATTGAAAAAAAGGAGTCTGATGTCTGCTGGGCATTGAGGGGCACAGTTAAAATGTACAGCTTGTGTGACTCCTCTGAGAGAGCACCTGGGACACTGTGGGATTGCAGGTGGAGTTAGAGCCCTGCTTGGCAGTGTTTATCAGGGGTTACTGTCTCATCCTGAAGAAAGGTAAAAAGGTCATCAAGTCATTAGGGTGTTTTTTTTGCTCCAAAAAGTTGATTTTGAATTGGTACTCCAGATCAAGTGACTTAGATGTGTAAATATTTCTGGTTCATTTCTGCTGTCAGCCTCTCATTTGTCTTTGCCCTAGTTTGATTTTTTAACTTGAGCATAGCAGTGGCTGTAGAGGGGAATTTTGAACGCCGTCTCATTTGGTTTTTTTCTTTCTTTTTCATTCAACTTTCCCTGATGGGCTTTATTTCTGTTGGCAGTTTTTATAATCCATGTTTTAATCTCTTTCTCTTATCTCACTGCTATATGCACAAGTGGAGTGCTTTGTTTTCCTGCACTGTCTATGGCAACGCATCCCAGTGCTGCTTCATCTCTCCTTGAGAGTTGATCTTTTACACTTTCTTTCTCTGTTTATCTAACACCCCCTGAAGATGTGAAGGGAACAAGTCCTTAAGAAGGCATTTTTTTTCTCTCTTTGAACACATTGTTTCTAATATCCACACTGTTTGTTTGTTTTCTATTTTTTTTTTTCTTTCCAAATATGCATGACATTACTATTTCTTCTGTGCCATAGAACTGGGAGACTTGGACAAGCATTGGATTTGGAAATAAATTCAACCTATCTACTCTTTTCTGACCTCTCACTCCTAGGACACACACTCAGACTGTATCAACTAAATCTGTACTTTTTAGGTAAGGTGTGAAACAAATACATAATTTCAAGTGGAACATAGCAGAAATGGCAGGACAAATGCATCTTTAGGACCCTGAGATCAGCTCAGTTGGTCAGAGCATGGCACTAATAAAGCCAAGGTTGCATTTTTTATCCCCATATGGGCCATTCACTTTCACTTTAGACTTGGACTTGATGATGCTTGTGGGTCTCTTGAAACTCAGAATATTCCATGATTCTGTTTAAAGACCCTACTGAGAGGTAAAGTTTATAAATTCTGAAATGGTAAATAAGCAGAGTGTTTGGGAGTTACAAAAAATAACATTAATTTGTCTCTTTAAAACAGAAAAAAGCCTTGGCAGTTAACTCCTGTACATATTGCCTCCAGGAACAAACAGGGAAAAAGCTAAAGAGCTGTCTGGACAGGGACACCCACAGTGGGAAAAAACTTGTGTGCCATATGTCCCCCTTCCATCTGTTTATGCTCTCTTCTGGGTCGTGACATCTGGTTCTGCTTGATATCTGGCTCTGATTCCTGTATTTTTAAAGTAAATGGGACTTAATTCTCCTCAGAGACTGAAGAGAATAGACCACATGCTGACTTTTAAAAGAAAAGCCAAGTTTTTCATAAAAATATGTTTCCTCATCCTAGATCTGAATGGCTTGATACACATACGTATTTAAATGAGCCAAAGATGTGCCAGCACCGTCTGCTGTCACTTCTAAAAAGCTGCTGACTTTGGCATGTTTGACATTTTTGCAGGATTGGACCATAAAGTTAGTTGGATACCTAGATTAGAAGATGAATTGGCTTATTATTAAGGAAAGGATCACGTCCAAGAGAGCAGACAGCTGAGAATGAAAAAAGATTGGGTGGGTGTTCCAGGGTGAGGGTTGGTGAGCCACAGAAGCTGGCTGTGGGGATCCTGAAACCCCCGGAGCGTCGAGCCACATCAGCCCTGTGCTGTGCAATGCCTCCACCTACTGATGCCTGAGACCGAACCTCTCCCCTTCCAATAAAAGCCACACTGTTTACATGAGATCATAATGAAATTCTGCTGCTAATAATGCCAAGCCACAGCATTAAAGAAAAAAACTGCATACCAAGAGGGAGAAAAAAAAGAAGATACTTTGACAACTGCTGTTCTGAATTATACTGTAATTATTATTTTTAGTGTTTTTTCTGTCCTTTGTAAGAGCTAGCAGGGAATTTAGTGGAAATTGAGAGTTTTGGCCTTTGAGTCTGTGCAACTGTTAATCCAGAGCCTCCTAGCTGGGATGTGGGGAGTAGTAGAGCTCTGTAGAGCTGTGTTTCTTAATCAGCCTCCAGCATATATCTATTAGATCTAATCGAGCAACGCTTGCCTTGGTTATTTCAAGAAGAAGACTATGACTGGAGACCACCTCATCTGGCATCTGCATTCAGCAGATCTGCTCTGGATAATGGCTGGAGGATCATTACTGGCCATGTGCTACCCAGGCAACTGAGAGTCCTAGAATTTACTTGACATAGTGATAGATGAGGAATTTGTGCCTAATTTAATGATCTAGTCCCCTGAGCTGGGAATAAATTGATCCAATAGTTACATGGTGAGAAAATCTCAGCATCTTGGATGCTGAATTGTTTATGGGAAAACAGGCACCAAATGGACAGTAGGCCCCTGGAGTCCATGAAGAAGAATTGCCTCAAGGCTGCCACCAGAGAGGACCAGTCAGTACATCATGAAGATCATCTGAAATGGAATGTCACAGCATTCTTGGGGGCAGAAAGCACTGGCTTCCTGAAATGACCAGTCCTCAGTTCCCAGTCCTTACCTTGGATAGTGTGCTCAGATCCCAAGGGACCTTGCAAACTTTTTTTCCTAATGATATATAGTGCTTTTCATTTTTTTTTACTCCCCTATTAATAATCTATAGCCACAGGGTTTGTAAATTGAAGAGAATTTGCAAAATGGAAGTGGATCAGGAGGT